TTTTCCCAGCAAGAAATTCTGAGACAGATCAAAACCCTGCAGTCTCCTTGCTTTGGATCCATTTTCAGACCAGAAGCTTAAAGTAATTTCTCTCTACTTCTTTCATTTTCTCACTAATGTCTCCAGCCATCAATACAAGAGAGGAATCCTAAAGATATAAACCTACCACATGTTCTCTTCAACTCCCTGACTGTACCAGGACACCTGTACAGGTATCAGATTGACCCATGGGTTGTTCTGGTTGAACTATTTGCTCTACCACAGATTTTGATGATTCTTAGCAACTCGGTGTCTTCTCAGCTTTCCCCTATAAAACCTGATGCATTAAGGCAAATACTTTGACTGTTGGGTTAGAATAAGCCACTAGCAGAAAGATTTTTCACTATCTGTAGGGAGGAAAAACTTCAACAAGTTATGCCAAAAATTCACTTTCTTTGTCTTTCATTCCTTCTCCATGATCATACAGACTCAATCTCTCCTTCTCCAAAGAAATCCCTTTGAGGAAAGAGTTGTGGACCACTCCTTTTCCATCTCCTCTTGGTCACTTTTCTTCTATTTATCTATTGCCAATGTTTCTAATGGGAAAACATACTCAGGATTTTGATGTTGAAATCACGGATGTTGCAACAAAACGAATAGCAGATCAAAAATACATTTTCCCACTTCACTGGGAGCCGTGCTTCCCAACACACTGCTAGCACGGAAGGTTAATGTGCAATCCAGAACTCGGCCTTGTCTTGGTTCACAGGAGATGAGTCTTGGCATCTGCTGACAGCAGAGATAAGGCATCCATGCTAACGGACAAAATTAAGGTAGTCCAGGAAACAGAAGACTAAGGAGACATTTCTAGAAAACATATTCAATAACAAATATGAGAAGCATCAACAGAGATAGTGATATCTGTTGGTTTTGATGTTACTTAAGGAACTGGCAAAATAGTCAAAATACCTACAAAGATTGATTCATAATGGGTTATGAATCAAAACAGGACAGTTTGTGCTTCCAGGAAAAAGATCTCTGTTTTATTTACGGGCACCTCCAAGGTTTAAAGCATCTAATTAAATCCTTGTCTGCACAAGAAAATCCGTGTCATTTAGCCAAGCAACATTTAGATGGTTTTATATAAACTAAAAAGACCTCCATGAACACGCTCCCAACTTTCATTAAGCATTTGCTTAAATCAGTTTGGCACATAGCAACCCTGTACTAAGCTGCCTTCCTCTCAGCATGCCTCTGCAAGTTTATTAGCTTAACTTGTCAATTTAAAATTCAACCTCTTGAATGGTGCGGTGTCTTATAGTTGAAGTCTTAGGAACGACAAGAAGCTAAGCAGTTACCTCCCATCAACCTCTCTACAGCATTTCTTCATGCACATATTCCTTCCCTCTTGTGCAGCAAGAGAAGTTATTTTTGTCCAGGTAGGCTGCTCCACAGCAAGAGAGGTTGGAGCCCAACTGTGAACAGCCACCACAGCAGAGCTGATAAGGTAAAACCTGCCAGTCACAGCAAACCCTCAATCTCAGAAATGCAGAACCTGCAATGCCACCCCTGCCATGAGAGAGAAAACCACAAGAGCTCACCTGCTCCAAATAAAACTTAGAGACAGCAAAGACACCAAAGACCTGTGAGCAGTGTGGGGTGGTGGGCTCTGGACTCCTCCCTGGCCTGCACACCTATTTTTTGGTCACACTGTAAAGCACAGGGCAGGCAGTACCAAGTCCTGAGGTTCCCTGTATCAAGGGTCTCTTAATTAGTGTAAACAATGGAAAAGCTTATTCACCCCTGAGCACTGGGTTCCAGTTTCAAACATGCAAAGGATATGGCTGCCAAAACCCTAAACTGGACAAGAAAGGACTGAGATACAACTCATCACTCTTACAGGTACTTCACTCTGTACTCTACAGTTTGGTAACACCATCAGTCGTTTAATCGACAGATTTAGCATCATCTCATGGGAAAAGTTCAGAAGTTCATACAACAAAATATCTGAAATTAAATATACTTTTAAATATACTTGACATCAATTTTTGAATGAAACACTACAATCAGCTTCTCAATTTTCCACCTTTTTTGCTGCAGTATATTTCCAGTCTTTACAGAGTTTTCAAATAGAGTATTTACACTAATTATTACACAATGCTGACTCACATGAGAAACATGCTAGAACACGGCTGAAGGATGTGGTGCACACTATTAACTTACACAAAATGAGCTGAACAAATGTTTTTACTCATGGCTGAACAGCCAAGGCCTTTGTACTGACGGTACTTTATACATTAACACAGTAGCTGCAACAGCAGATTTATTCATCTCCATAAGCCACCATACGTTTTGAAAAGAAACCTTAGATAAGAAGACAGTTTATCTACCTCCCACACTCCAATGGGGATTGAAACAGACTTCACCTCTGCAATATTTTTTGAGAAAGAAAAAACAAATTAATTTCTGACCTTGAAATGCATGAACATACTTTTGTTCTCCACCAGCAAGCAACATAGTTGTATTGCAACACCTTATCCAAAATGAATGGTACTAAAGGAAATTACTTGATTTTGGGGATACCTGTAACTGCAGTATCACCTACCCAGGCAGATGGAACTGCTTAGGAATTCAACAAACAACTGTCACAGAAAGGAACAACTGTAATTTTTGAAAGTTTTACCTTCTCCCTTCAGCTGGAAGTCCTCCTTTACCTCTCTGCTTCAGTAATCAACACAGTGCCAAACTCAGCCTGACAGCTGCTCAGCCTGCAACTGTTCTACAGGACCTTCCAGGGCAATGTAAATGCAGAATGATCCTCCCTCTGTTCTTTTCACCCCACAGTACGCTGTTCTTTCTTACTGGAAGAGCCAAAATCCCCACTTTACTAACTGCTTCTCATCTCATCCACGTGACCCACACCACACACATGCCCTATACCTACCATTAAAAACTTGAGGGGTTCAGCGCTTACTGTGGGGAAGCATATTTTGCACAGATAAATTTTCAAAATACTATCAACTCATCTTTATTTCCCTTTCCTTGCCATTTCAGGGCTTTCTGCCTCCTAAAATGCTTGAATCACACCTACTGTTATTTTACATCACTATGAAAATGATGATCAGATTGATCCTTTCTCATAAACTACTGTCACAAAGTAGCTTGTCAGGAACTCTGTCCAGAGTTACTTCTGTGCATAATGGAGTATTGATTTCCATCCTTTGAAAATGTGATTAGATAGTAGAAGACAGGCAACAGGCCCTGAAATCTGCAGTCAGACTCTCTGACACCAGAACACACACCACTTAGCATGCTGCTGTCCTCATCTGAGGCTGAGAGAGGAAGGCTCATTAGAGCTGCACTGTTATTTCTTTCCTTCCCTGCTGCAGAAGAGCTCCTAAAACTCTGCAGGAGCTTATCTTACCCAGAGATGAGGAAAAGCTTATGCAGAAGGCATGCAGCTCTTCAGACACAGTTATACTGGGGAGGCCAATTGCCTGTTAATCAAAAGCCTCTTATCTGGAACCACCTGGACATTTATGCTGTTCTAAAATGAGGCCTAGGAATCCCAGCTGGACTATTTCACATATTTAAAGGTTCTCTACAGGGCAGAAACATACTGTCAGGGAGAGGTTGGTACCATCCTTTCCTGGGCACAGTCTGCACTTGGATCAGCTTAACCTAATCAGAGACGTCTGGGAACAGTTTCCTATTAAGATGACATCCATATGAAAGAAAAAAAAACTCTAGATCACTAAGCATTCAAGAATACTTAATGTCACTTACAGAATACTTTTTTCAAGGACAGAAGGGATTTGATCTAAGTTGCAATACATTTTCCAGGAAAAAAAGGGCAGCATATTGGCATAATGTCGACAATCCTGCCCACCTGCACAATTACTGCGCTGGCACCAAGAGATTTCACCATTCCTTCAAACAGAAAGCAATGCTCCAAATACACAGGACCAAACGGATAAAGCACTGATTGTTTACAGAGCCACAACAAAGTCAGGTAATGAGATTTTATTTTTTTTCTTTGGAAGAGCAGGGGCTGCACTTTATATCTAATTATACAGTAAAGTTCTGTAAGGTCTACTGCAGCTCCCTGCAATTGATATTGAAAACAGCTCAAGATACCGTTTGGCAGAGATGCTGCAACAGACAGCACCAGTGTTTTAATTATTCTCAACTCCAGTTTTAAGGCTGACACCTATGAGGAGACTATTGAAGGTGAAGCAGCTGTCCGGACAGGCAACTTCTGAACACAGCGTTTGATTCCAGTGCCACATCACAGCAGAGAATTCTGACCTGCTAAGCTCCCCACTGCCAGTGGCACAGAGCTTTTGGTCGCTTACTCAGATCCATCTGCTTTCTCGCAAACAAGGGACTAGGGAACCTTTATTCTGCCTTGTAAGTAACTTGGAGACAGTTAATTTGCTTCAGTATGTTCTGTTGCAGCCTTCCTTATAAGCTTCGACGCACAAAAAAAAAAAAAAAGAAAAAGAAAAATACCACATGGCAACAATGAACTGACTAGAAGGACTGGAGACCAGCCACGAAGAATAGCACATATTTGCTAAGAGGAAAAGAGAAGCCTCGATGTGGCGAAGCATATACTGAAAAACATGGGGAGAGAGGGGGGAAGGGGAAGAGGAGAAACAGTTTAAAAACAAATTTCCCGGTCATAAAGATAAGAAAGCTTTAATACACCGCTGGGTCACACAGCCCTCCAAAAAGCAGTGCCTGACCTCGCCCTGCAAACGAATCAATGAACGGAGCAGCGCCAGCAACACTAACACGTGCCGACCCTCACATTTTGGGCTGAGATTTGCAGTCTCAGTCTACCCGCAGGCGGGCTGCTGCTGCTCCTTCACATGCACTTATAGACTGAAAAAACAGTAATTACGTTATCTTCCATGCTATGTAGCACAACCCGCTCCAGCCCCTCGGTCTCCCTTCAAACCAAGAGGCTGGATCACCCGGGGACCCCGCCTGGGCAGCCACCGCTATCAGTTCGCATCAGTGCCAGAAAGGGGGTAGCCCTGAACCTGACCCGCCTCCGGGGCTCGGGAATCGCGTCCCTCAGGGCAGGCGGGAAAACAGAATCACAGAACCAACCAGGTTGGAAAAGACCTCGGAGATCGCCGAGTCCGACCTACGACCGAACACCACCGTGTCAACGAGCCCGGCCCCGTCCCTCACCCCCCGGGCTGCCCCGTCCTTCATCCCCCTCGGGCTGCCCCTCGCACCGCACCGGCCCCGTCCCTCGCCCCCCGGGACTACCCCTCGCACCGGCGCCGGTTCCCCCGCTGGGGCCGCCTTCCCTCTCAGCGCCGCCACGGCCCCTGTCCCCCACAGCCCCGCACTCACCGCGGCGGCGGCATCGCCCCTTCGCCCACCCCGTGCCCGCTGTGGCGGCGGCGCTGCCGCCATGTGACCGCCGCCTCCTCCTCCTGCTCCTCCCCTTTCTCCTCCTCTTCCTCCTCCTCCGCCGCCGCCGCCGCCATGACAGGCGGGGCCGTGGTGGCCCGAGAATATGGCGAGCCCTGAGGGGCAGAGCGGAGGGCCTGTGGGGTTGTTGCCTGGCTCCTTTTTGCCGACCTGGGCGGAGGAGGGGGGGAGGTTAGGGATGGAGGGGTGCGGATGTGCGGCTTTCTCTCCCCCTCTCCCCTCAGATTTGCTGTGCATCTCTCTGCCTGTCCCACAGGGCTTGCGCGGTCCCTCTCTGAAGTTTAAAGCCCCTCACGGAGGTGTTCATTTTGCGGTCCTGGAAGTACAGGATCACAGAATCGTTAGGGCCGGAAGGGACCTCTAGAGATCATCCAGTCCAACCCTCCTGCCAAGGCAGGGTCACCTGGAGCAGGTGACACAGGAATGCATCCAGGTGGGTTTGGAATGTCTCCAGAGAGGGAGAATCCACAGCCACCCTGGACAGCCTGTTCCAGTGCTCTGACACCCTCAATGTAACAAAGTTCTTCCTCATCTTGAGGTGAAACTTCTTGTTTTAATTTATGGTCATTGCTCGTCATCCTGTCACTGGGCACCACTGAAAAGAGTCTGGCACCATCTTCTTGGCACCTGCCTTTGAAATATTTATATGCATTCATGAGATCCTTCTCAGTCTTCTCCAGACTAAACAGGCCCAGCTCCCACAGTCTCCTTATAACAGAGATGCTCCAGTCCGTGTGCTTGTCCAGGGGCTTTGAAGGGGAGAAAAGGAGTGCAGGTCAGGCTTGTCAGGATGTCTGGGCTGACCAGCCACGGTTCCCTCACCCTGTAGTTTCAGTAGCTCTGTGGAATGTGAGCGGCTGATTTCTTGAGCTGGAAGGGGGATATAGCTGAGGGAAATCAACCACAACTACCCTGAAATAATCTGAGATTGGCATTTAATGTGCTTCCATAGTGACAAGATTCGCATCTTCACAGGTGGAGAGGAGCATTGAAACCTCAGATCTTTGATATCCACAGTAAATGATCACAGAACCACAGAATGGGTCAAGTTGGAAGGGACCACAGTGGGTTGTCTGGTCCAACCTCCCTGCTCACACAGGGTCATCCCAGAGCACACGGCACAGGATTGCATCCAGACAGTTCTGGAATATCTCCAGTGAGGGAGACTCCACACCCCCTCTGGGCAATCTGTTCCAGTGTGTGGTCACCTGCACAGCAAAGAAGTTCTTCCTCATATTCAAGTGAAACTGCCTGTGCTTCAGTTTCTACCCATTGCTTCTTGTTGTGAAGATCAATCCACTGGCTTGCTAGACCACAGCATGGTGGGGTGCCCGCCATACCACAGATCTGTCTTTATGTGGGATTGACTTGGCAGGTGTCCTTTCTCCAGAAAAAGTGGGGAAACTTGAAGGTTTTGGATTCATAAACCCTGGTGAGGTTTGAGAACAAACTCACTGTCAGATTTGAACAGCACAGTCTGTACAGGGAGCTTACTTTGTAAATACCCAGATTACAGAACTTGAGCTGCCAAGTGACACTTTAAAGATGGCAGATTTTATTTTAGGGAAGTGGAAATTAAACCGGGTTGACACAACCCAAGCCCCTTCTTTGGTGGATATTGCCCCTGGTATCCAGAGATTATGGCAAGGTGCTTTATAACACACAAATACAGCAGAGTAAAGAACCTGTCAAAAAGCTGTAGGTACAGCATTAAAGCGCAGAGGGCAAAAAGGCAATCCGTAATCAGGAGCTGCAGTGAGAGAAAAAGGAGTGACAGCCTGTGGAGGGGTTAGTAGGTAGATGACAAGGAGGTAGCAGGGATCAAGATGAAAGCAAGGTGTGCAGTTAAGTGAGATAGCCACACAGTCAGCACCCCCATGAGACAGCTTTTCATAACTCCTCTTTCATAATGGCTAACACACAGCTTTGATCTCTCTCTTACAATAATTGAGCCCGAGGACTGGAGGTGTGAATTAAGCTCATTTAGGTAAAAGCAACCTCAGCTCATATGCTATCTGCTTTCTGCAGAACCATTATCCTTGAAGTCCTTCTAATCTGGCCAGTTGTTGCCTACCTTGTAATTCCAGGTATTTAATCTCTTTTAGTTCTTATCACAAAGAGTTTCCGTGGTGCTTGGATTATTAATTTTATTAACAGAATTAATAACTTAACGCTACTTTTTAGCGTCATTTACTGTAAGATCTTTGATACGTGTTTCACTTCTCAAAATTCCTGATAATGATAATCTGTCCAGCCCAATTGCTTAATAAACTCTGTGATGACTCATTAGTGTTAACTAATTGACCCAGTACCAACCTGCTCACAGCAAGGGAGAACAACTCATATTAAAGCGCTGGCAAGAAGTCATAACCCAAAGTAATCCTCTGTCAGTGTGGGTTGTGGTCAGAATCTGGGATCCACATGTACTCAAGCACTGAAATTTCATTTCTGTTGTTGGCATGTCTTGGACACAGAAATGACACAAGAGAAAGGGACACTCTGAGCTGCAAAAGATATTGTTTAAATCCTGTCTCATTTCTTAGATTGACTGACTTCCTTTGTGAAAAAGGATGTAAATGTCCCCAAAACCAAACAGAATGAATGTATATTATTTTTCTAACTCCAGATTGTTCAGTACAAATTTCCCCAGCTGATGTGTAGAGCTTGTTGATCAGCTGAGATAGAGAAGACTGGGGGGAACTCCGACTGGGAAAACTTGCATTTGTTTTGGTGGTTTCCTGTTACAATTGTTTGCCTACAGGCTGTCCATGACTGAAGTCAGTCTGCACATCCCCTACTAGAATTTCTATGTGATTATGGCTGTGAATGGTTTAAAAAAAGCCTTGTAAGTGCTGCAGAGTTTATTTGGAGTGTTGAGGAAGCAGAACATTTGTCCGGTTGCTCTCAGACCTCTTTCTTCCTACTACAGATCACTTAATGTGGGTTTTTGCCTGTTTTCCAAAGAAAATGGGGTCAAATGACAACTCTGAATATGTATATGGGTTTATCTGATCTGCTCTCTCTTCTGAAATACTTTTGAAATCTTGGGCCATATATATCAAATTTGACAATGGGTGAAGATTTCAAAGGGTTTATATTCTAAATACCTTTCAAAAATAGATGTCTGAATAGAAGAGAGAGACTGTTATCCAGCACTGAGGAAAACCCTGTAGAACAAGATCATTCCTCATACCCTTAAATTTATTGGGAGCACTCAGGGAAGAATTCATGGAGCTATCATGGCTAGTCTGTTGAAAACATCAATCTCTCATGCTTTGGAGTAGGTGAAAAGGCCAAAAGGATGTTAGGTACATTAAGATAAGGAATAAAGAACAAGATGGGATGCTTTGTAAAACTGCAAGTGCTTGCACATCTTGAATATTGTGTGAAATTCTCCCTAAAGCACTAAGAAAAGTACAGAGAAAAGCAATGAACTGATTAGAAGTAAGGAATTGCTTCCCCCCCAAAAAAGGTGTTTAAATACACTTAAATGGTTTAAAATCTCTTGTTATAGAGAAAGTGAATTCTATGTTTCTTGTAGCACAAGATTTAGGTGTCCTGAGTGAAATTACCAGGCAATAAATTTAAAAGAAATGAAAGTATGTTTTCTCTAGAGTTACAGTTGTAAATTGTTGCAAGGGTATCTGAGAGGCCAAAAGTATAAATGTTCTCGTGAGTGGATTAGAAATGGAAATGAGAAAAAGCCCCTCAAACATAACGCTAATGCAGCTGCCAGCTGAGGAAATCTCCAAGTAAAGAGGTGGATTCAGCCAGCAGATTAAGGCACCTAAATTTGGGTTTCAGCGTGTAGGTGTCTCCATGTGAACCAGATGTCTAAGCTCTCCTTACACTCAGCAGAGAACTAATGTGGGATTTGGTTACATAAAAGCAGGCATCAAGTGCCACTTTAGGCATGTGGAGTTTTCTACCTGGCCTCCTGCTCCAGGAAGCAGCAGGGCTCCTAAAAAGCCTCTTCTATCTGAAGTCTCCCATGGAAGTCTTTGATGTCTCAGTCCACCACAGTTGTCACTAAGCACTGTTGGTTGGCAAGCTGAACCCTGCTCATGGCTGCGCAGCAAACTGTCCAGACCACCTTAAGTGGAAATATGAGTGTTATTTTGAACCCATCAACTGTATTGAGTAATACTGTATCAATCTAGGAGGAATCTGTGTTCCCATGAAGATATATCCATGGGACACCTCAATCTGAGCATCAGAATTTATAGGCTTTGCCAGGCTGTACAGAGGGAATATTGCTTAGTTTCTAATGATATTTCCTTAAGTTTCCTTAGCTAGTTGATTCAGCAGGGCAGGAATTCAGCATTTAGTAGAAAAATACAAGAGATTATGTATGAAAAACCATCTTAAGGTACTCGGATTTATTGATAGTAAGGACTGTGGGAAGGTTTAGAGTCACAGTGAACTGTTTAACGGTGCATGGATGCATAGTGAACTTTGAACACAGTGCCTTGATTGCCTAAGCCTGGAAGATACCCGATGGCCAAGAGTTCTGGGGCAACCACAGACGCTGCTGCTGAAGCCACTAGATGACAGATTTTTAAGCCATTACATCCTGTAGCTGAAATGGATTTTTTTTTCACACAGGTAAATCAAAACTAATTTGGTTGATGACAGGTTTTGCACCATTCTGTGAATCAGACCAGTTAGAACTCGTTAAGAGTAGCAGAACTTGCCTAAGAAGAATTTAGGCTAAGATTCAAGGCAAAGAAATTAGAAAGAAGGATAATTAGAAAAGCCAGATGATAATTAGGTGAGTTTTGGAATGCAGAATCAGTTTTTCCTCAGTTTCTTGTGCTTCAAATGGTTTACATTTTCTCACTGGAAATACAAAACTTTTTGCACTAGTGCTGTCCTCTTGGGCTGATGACAGTTTTAACAAAACAAATTCAGCGGGCTCAGAGTTTCTTTTTTGGACTTAAACAAGGATGGAAGGAATGTTTATACTTCTAAAACTGTATTGTTAACCAGTTGTGCTACTGCAGCAATGTTCCCATTTGTTGTTTATTGAGAGAATGCCCTGATCATGCAATAAATAATAAAGTTATATTAATAAATAATAATTAATTAAAAAATAAATTAACAGAGCCTCTGTAACTTTCAAATGTCCTGCTCTTCAAGGTGAGACAGAGAAGAGACCTAATCTAATACCATATAATTGACAGGCCCTCTCCCTTTTCTCATTCAGAGGACACAGATAAGATCTAACAACCAGCTAAATGTATTAACATTAACCCACGCTAATGAAGCAAGAAACAAGTCATGGGCAGGAATGAGGAGCATATGTGATGTGGCCCTAAAATGTGCAGGAATATGAGGAAGAACCCAGGTGTGTGTGACAGACAGTGCTTGGGAGAATTCACAGATCTAAGGACCCTGCTGAGACTTGTTTTGTCTTAGCAAGGAATTGCAGCACTGAGCATACAGAGAGTAGTATTGTCATGCTCTATTCAATTCCCTTCAACTTTTTCCTTCCTTTTTCAGCCCAGGCTGTGTTATTTTTATGTACTTCTTAACAATTCTCTTCTGTAGAGTCTCTCCAGAACTGTGGAAAAGTTGTGTTTTGTCTTTGAGGTGTTGCTGGCTAAATTCCATCTATTTTTCATGTTCAGAAGTTCTGACTCTTGAGATCTGGTAGTGAGATGCTACATATTCTAGAATTTCTTTTTACTGCAATAAAACATTCCTTGGAGTCTGTGGAGAGGTAATTGGCTAAACATTCTGTCCAGTGTTGCTCAATTGTGCTTAGAACACTTCACAGGCTTGGGGTCTGAGTCAGTCTGGGTTGATTTCTTTTCCACTTTGGACTGTTTTGCAAAGTTTTGAGAATGAAAACAATCCCATAAACTCCAGAAATCTCATAATTGAATTGGCTTTTCCCCAGTGAACTCTATTAGAAATCTACCAAGAGTTTCCTTCCATCATTGCTTCTACTCCCTGATAAGAGAAGGAAAAAAGTTTATTTGCAGAGGAGCTCAGTCACATTATCTTCTTTTTACAGATGTGGAAGTTAAAGCAAAGAAGCATTAAGTTATTTGTTCCAAGTCATCCAACTAAGCAGTGGCAGACAAAAAATAGAAGTGAGTCCTTCAGGGCTCATTCTGTTGCATCACTCTATCTTCCTGTTTTGATAAAAACATCTGAAAAATAATTTTCATAGGTAAGTATGTGAGAAAGATTCAGACTTCCTGAAAAGTCTGACAAAACCTTTAGTTATGTCACGTAAACAGGGGTTAGATAGAGTTCAAACTGAGACAAAGACTCCAAACCTGAATTGTGGCATTTCTTTTGTACAGATATTTATATTTTTTATAATTTTTTCTCACAGCAGGTCTAATCTTCCCAGTATCTTTCATCAAAAGATGCCTCAGCCTCTAGCCCCATACCTGTTGTATAACATGATGCTCTTTTTTTTCACCCTGCAGTTTTGTTTTCTACATTCTCAAGGATGGGTTTTCTCTTTCCCACCACTGAGAAATATGTAAAAAGGACGTATGTGTAACAAGAAAAGGACAAATATCCAGTAATATTTATAGTTCCATTTTAGCTCTATTTTTTCCCATTGGTTTTAGAAAATTATGCTGATTCATACCAACTGGGGCTAGTTCCCTGCTTCTCTGTAGCAACGTTATTATGTCTTGTAATCACAGAATCACAGAGTTGTACCCCCTCTTTTACCCCCCTCTCTGATTTTTCACTGTCTTCTATTTCTGTGACCCACCCTAAAAAAATTTCACAACTTGACAATTTGTACTTGTACTTCCTTTTCAGAGGCCTGAGTTATATTAGCAGTATTCCTCACCTTTGCATTGTTTGTCTCAAAGAATGTGTGCAATTCAGGAGTAGCTGTGTTTCCTGCCTTATGCATATGTAAAAAACTGAAGAGGAAATTATATTCTTATAGCTAAGAGGACAAGAATTAGGAGACATGACTGTCCCTCAAGGTGCTCTCTCCATAAATCCGATTTTACTGCTTGATGTCTTCATTTGTTATATACAGTATGTTGATAAAATTCTTACCCCACAACATATTTTATTTGTTTGGATTAGAAGCACTTGTGGACTATTAAGTATCACTACAAGCCTGACCTCTCTTAGGATTCCCAGGCAAATCCAAAGCAAAACAAAACAAAAAAAATCCCCATCAGCAGTGTACTCTGTTGCATCACTAACTTGTGGTTTACCAGAGAAATGCATTGGAGTAGGCTACCATAAGCAGTGTTTCTAAAATGCAAGTTTTGGAAGTGTATAAATGATGAAAACAAATTAGAAAGTAAGCATTCTAGTTGGTCTATACAGAACCCAAGAGCTGTGCAGTTACTTTATTCCTTATTTTAGCAAGAGAAAAAAAAACTATATGATTAAAAAGCTTAAGGTAATTTTGGGGCCTGTTAAATTAAATGAATGACTGAGGGAAACCATTACCTCACTATCTGAAGATGTCAAGCTCTGAAAGAAGTATAGTGCCTAAGGAAAATGGTGACATTGGAAGATAAATACTGCTGAAATGTGGCCTGAATAGACATTGTGCTGTTCAAGGGAATAAATAGCATGTTAATAGCAAGGAATTCTGTTCAAGTTATGAGATGCCCCCTGGTGTTAAAAACTTTGGCTGTTTATCTCTGTTGAGACATTGTACATGGGCAGGGCAGGTTAAAACACCAGGATAAAACACCTAAAGCATTAAGAGAGGATAAGAAAGTGTAAAAGGTAAATGGAAACTACATAAGGACACAAAGCTGCAGGAGAGGGATTGGTAGCAATGCCATTTAGGATCTACCTGCCATGTGCAATAAGCACAATTAGCTGTAAGCTCCTCAGTTTTAGGTAACATTTCCAGGAGCAGGAATTAGAGGGTGCTGTGTGGTGATCCAGCTGGGGAAGGGGTCAGCAGCATTTTATGGATGCTATAGATGGAAGGGAGGCTTGGAGAGGCTTTGGAGAGCCACAGAGAGAGGAGTGTCATTCTTGACCCAGACATCTCTCTCATAGCACTTGGGAGGGTTATGGGGCCCCCAAACCTGCCCATGGAGCCTTATGTCTCTATTCCTATCACCACAAGCGACAATATACCCTGTCTTCTTCCTACAGCAACTTCTGCTTGTTTGGGGCTGCTGAGAAGAGGAGGAAGCAGGGGGAGGGCACAGGAGATAAGGAACTATTTTGGCAAAGGGGAAGGGAGGGATAGAAGGTGCTGAGCCAGAGAGGAAGGGCCTTAGAGAGCAAAGCTTTCTGTTCCTACTGCTGGGGTCAAAAATCACTGCTCCAAAGAACCTGACAGTAATTCCTGCTCCCCTGGCTTTCAGGGACAGCAGTGGTTGTGCAGGTAGAAAGCAGGTATGGCCTGTGTGCCCTGATGTTTCTGTGTAATCCAGAGCCCTGAGGAGAGTCCCTGTGTCCCCAGTAGTGCAATGGCTACTAGGACACACTTTTACAGGAGCCCTAGAGTTCAGGTAGAACTTTATGTAAAGTATCACTTGTTAGAGAAATGCTAGTAAGTAATAGTAGCATTAATATAGTATCTTAATATAGTCTCTTATAGTATCTTAATAAGATAAGAGAAAGAAGTGGAAATAAAATATTTTCAAGGTCTGATATTAGGCTGGCTGGCAAGAGGACGATTTAGAAGAGTCAGAATTTTCTTGGGATAGTCTTGTCAAGAAAGAAAAAAGAAAACTTGGAGTAGGAGAGATAAACTAGAATTCTGTTCTTGCCTCTAAATTGGTAGGGATGGCTCTTCTCCAAACCTAGTGGCAGTACTGTACGCTAGGAAGTTGTCCTGTGGTGTTAGTTATCCAGGACTTTTCTGGAAATAAAGTCACATAAACCATGGGAACCTAAATATGTATAAAGAGCAGAATCAAAATAAAGTGATTCTAAGATTTTGGGGGGAGTTCCTGCAGTATAACATATCTTTTTGTAACTGGATATTTAGTATTTCCAACCTTGTTTTGGAGGATCTTCAGGAGGCAAAGCAGAAGATGTTTGCTGCTTCATTCAAGCAGAAAAAAAAGAGTATCATAAGATATTTTCAATGCTAAGTGAATACTAAAACTCATCCCTTTTTTCTGTTCTTGGGGGAAAAAGAGAATATATAATATTGTATCATTAAGAGAAAATACCAGTGGTTTAGCCAGGTATCTGATTTTAATGCCTATATATTTTGGAGATTTGTTACTCATGGAAGTTTTGTGGATTAGGTAAGTAAGGACAGGGAAATGAGGAAATGAGGGCAAAATCCCTTTGAACAGAATGGTGAACAAATCGATATTGGTTGTAACAAAATTTCATTTCAGCACTTCGTTACATAAAAACTGTTGTAAATCAGACAATCCTGGTGGTGTTCTTACAGCCTTTGTTGACAAAAGAAATAAGGTTAAAATTTCAGCTTTCATTGTAGTGAAAGCCTCCAGCCCTTGTGATCAGAGGAATAAAGCCTTAAAGATTTGACAGCTCATCCTACAAGAGTCAATTTAAAAATAAAAATAAATGAAGAAAGAACAAAGGGAAATGTTTTGCAGTATTTTTTAACAAAGCCATTCTTATTTTACAAAGACCATCTCCTGGGTTTGTTAGTGCTGAGGCTGGTAACACTGAGTGTAAGTCCCAAATATGTCTTCTGGCACTGCACCAATTTGAGTTAAACCAAAATATATTCTTCATTCTCCTAAATGCAACTTCTGCTGTACCAGATTTTGGAACCAAGTTATCTGAAAATTACAAAGCAGCACCAGATGGTGACTGTAGGTTGGCTGGAATTTGCGGTCTCTCTTGTCTTGCCACATGTTTCACCACTTGGAAGAGTCTAAATTATATTGTTCAATTATTTGTCTCCTTGGCTCAATGTTCCCTTTCTTTCATGTTCTGGATCGGTGCAATTCTTCATGTGTTCACTAGGTGGGTCCCCACAACTGTGCACTGGGGAAGCAGTTTGTTGAGTGGCCTGAACACACTTGGGTAACTGTATCTCCCAGTCAGCTTTATAACCACTTTTGGTTTTGGCAGAAGTTCACTGCACCTCGTGTTTCGATGTACAATTTAGTGATTAGAGTGTTTGGAAGTTATGCTTTGCTACTTTCTATACTAGTCAAAAACAAACAAACAAAGGAACCTTTTCCCATTTGTGTGAGGAATTTACTGACTATACAAGAAAAGCCAGACTTTTTATCTAAATTTTCAAAAATTTTCTTTCCAAGTGTTCTATATGAGTGTGCAGTTACATTAAAGAAATATTTACCCCCTCAACCTGACCAAAACAAAACCGAAACACAAAACTTTAGTTCTCTCTATCCCATAATGCCCCATAGAGAAGATAAAGGAAAAATAATTCAGATATTAACAGTGTTTTTAATTTCCTATTAGAAAGTCATAGTGCTCTTACTGAGGAGGCAAATAGCTTCTTTACTGTCTCAGGTTGTGTCTTCACCCTGCAAAGAAAGAGGAGCCATTAACCTGCAGGGAGCTCTATTCTGTCATTTCTGGGCTGTTTCTGACATTCAAACTCATACACTTAAAGCCATCTCTCTTTATGGTGTAGTCTGTAGCACTGATTTAACTTAATAATGGATAACTCTTACTCTGGGAGACTTATCTAAAGATATCTTTAAAATGCCCACTTCTCGTATCTTGGCATCAATGGAAAGAAAATCAAAGCAGACAATTTCAATTATTGCGAGGTTTGGGTTTATTTTTTTCGTCTTCTTTTGTTCCCCCTCTTATCCAGGCTCACTAAGTGAATCTTTTTCATCTGCTTATTTGACATGGTAAGATAATTCATGTGGAAAACTATCAAGAAATGCAAATTTTGATCAAACTAAAGGTTTTATTTCTTGTGATTTATGTTTAGAGGGCAAAAAAAAGTGTAGAAAATTCTTACATTATGTATTACAAAGATAAGCTGAGAACTAAAATTGATTCTTTTCTTGCTCAGTAACAAATTTGCAGTAAATAAAACTTTTAATCATTATTGACTATATTTAACGTCAGAAAATCTTGATCTGTCAAATGATTAATGAAGATGAGAAAGGCTGTCACAGAACACATAGAGATGGTGGTACCTAATGTCAGAGATCTGGCTCAAAATTCATCCTCAGCAGTGACTATAACATCTGATTTGCTGTTTCAAGCAAGCAGGTAGATAGAACTTTGTGTTTCACCCAAACCAGTTTTAATGGTCTGCTTGTCCTCATTTTGATGGCAAGAATCCAAACTTTGAAAAAAGTAGCTTCTGTATTGTTTTAGTTATCTTATGTCTCCAAGTGATAGTTATGAGCTTCAGTAGTTATCTCTCCATTATCAAGCTCGTATCAGTTACAATCTTCCCTCTTCAGCTCAGTGCAAGTGCTCCAGGAATCCAAGAGAGTGAAGAGCAGTGAGAAGTTCTATGAAAGCCTTGGTTCAGACTTGGAAAGTTCTTGGGAGTCTGAGTCTGTAGACGATCTGGGAAGGGGCATCTCATGCTCTCCATGACTAGAGTCACCCTCGTGTGTCCCTGGGCAATTACCGGAGCGTAGTGGGAGTGCTCATCATTTCTGCTTCCAGAGCTACAAAACCACAGAGCCAGACACTCTATATGAGGTTGGTCTGCTCACACTTGTCTGGCACCATCACTTCCTCTGGGAAAATGGCAAAAGCAAATAGCAACTTGTCTGTTTGCATGTAGGCGTGAGCCTCCTGAGAACATATAATTTGGCACCGCGCGCAAGCGAAGTTCAAACATCCTCGAGCTCTGAGCTGTTGACAACTTCTCTCAGAATAGACACGCAAACTACGCAGAGCAGTTTTGGTGCTGCCTTATCTCAACATCACCTTCAAAAACCTGTAATGGTTCCCAAGTCACTAAGTCACCCTGACCTGGGAAATGTGCTCGCAGCAAAGGGTGTTAACCTTTGCATCGTCCCCGCTCGTCTGCAGGCGGAGGATAACAACACCTACAGCCTCACTGGGACCCTGGGGGAGGCACAGCACACTTCAGCCTCTGTGGGCATGGAATGCTTATGTGTTGCTGCCCCGCAGTGGCTGTGTTTACAGAAGGAATAATCCCCACAATACAGGCAATGCTGAACAATTCTAATAGTAGCAGTTTCTCAGGTTATTAGCTCTACAAAACAGACATTACATTTACACTGGTTCCCTGCTTACTACTCTGAATTTGAATGCAATTAAGCATAGCTGGTGTTGTCACACCTCTGCTACTGTCCCTCCTTTTTAGAAGGTAGTATGGAAGTGCCAAGTATCACTACTGTAATGAAATCAGAGGGAGGTAAATACACTATATAAATATTCCAAGGCCTCTTGAGACTGAGAATCAGCACGCAAACCTTGGCTACAACTCTGAAAACCTGCAGTTGTTAATAGAGGATTAAAGTGGTAGGGCATCCTCTGGGCTATAGCAGGATTTAACAAATGCCTGTGAATGCAGCATTCAATAGGACTCCAAGGCAAAGCTCGACTGTAACTTGGAGTCTGCACAGAGGGAAGAGCGAAAGCAGTCCAGGATCATGTTACTCATCTGATTGCAAAGGGCTCTGTTTTCAGTGCTGCCCCCAGGGCTTTACCTGATCTATCCAAAGAGAAGGTGTCTGCCCTTCCCACCCTGCAATCATTCATACATAAACAACTGCAAATACTTTTCTGACTGTTCTGCCAGTTTCAGCTCTTCTTGCTTATCCAGTGCCTCCTCTCCTGCCAAAACAACAAACTGAGCTCGTGTGGGTTGTGGTTGGGGGCAGAGTCAGCCAACAGCCGTGTGCTCGTTTCCTTTGTTTTTCACGTTTCTCTTTGGCCTTTCCTTGGGTAGAATCCAAGGGATGGATCACTGCTGGTTCCATCATGATGCAGAAGGAACAGACATCACTTTTCAAACAATGACAGCTTTATGAAGCTGAACAGTCTCAGCCAAAGTCTTGATGCTATCATCAGTCATGTCTTTCTTCCCAGTCCCTGCAGGTGACTGCAGCTGGCAGCAGATCTTTTGACAGTCAAATTCTGTATGTTATCTCTGCTGGACCAAGCCTTTAAATAATTGGACAGGAAGATCTGGGAAACAGATATGCTGTTTCAAGGCATAAATAACATCGTACTGAGTGCTGCAGAAAGCTTTTATTTAATTTAGTTTGATTTGGTTCAAATGTGGTCATCTGTTTTGGCTTGCAACCAAGATTTCTGCAGATATATGCTCAGTTTCTTCTTAGACCAGTGACTGTCACATACAACTCACTTCTCACTGTGCCTCCAGTCCTCAGCTCTTCAGTGGGAATAAGAAGATGTTCTTGACTTACAGGAAATGGAGATAAGGAGCGATGGGAAGTAAGTTTATGAGATTTTCTAATTTTCTAATAATAGAGATCCATATAAATATCCAAAACATGGGACTGAAATGGCAAGAGTTGTTGCTACTCACAACAGAGAAATGTGGAGAGCATTGCTGGTACCCTGCCATCAGATCATGTTGTGCAACAGTGAGATCCATCCCTGTGATGAAAGCCAGACCATGCAAAGTAAAAACTATTTAAGCTGTTAAAGTGGAACTTAAATTTTGGGTACTCTGTCTGACAAAGTCACTGTGATGGTGAATTAGACCAGTTATAAGGAAGAAATTTTTTACTGTGACAGGGGTGAAACACTGGCACAGGTTGCCCAGAGAGGTGGTGGATGCCCCATCCCTGGAAACATTCAAGGTCAGGTTGGATGGGGCTCTGAGCAACCTGGTCTAGAGGAAGATGTCCTGCTCATTGCTGGGGGGTTGGACTAGATGAGCTTTAAAGGTCTGTTCCAACCCAAACCATTCTATGACTCTATGGTTTAATTCTTCAATTTCCTTATTACCTATTGTGACGATTACTCAGATTAATTTTAGGTCACAAAGTATTTTTGATAGTGATCAACTTCACATTTTAATCTGCAGGTATTAGCCCAAGGCTATTTCTTTGCTTCCAACACACCAAAATATTTACCTAAGTGGAAAAAAAAAAAGAAAGAAAAAAGAAATGAAAGAACCTTGACCAAGGACACACACATTCCTGTTTGCCTTTTTTTATTCCCTCACCCTTTTTCACAAAGGGACAATTTTGGCTACCTGGCCTTTCATGGAATGCAATCTGGGAGGTGATTTCATTTTTGCTGTGTAGAGGAATGGCACAATCCCAGCAGCGACATCATCTCACCCCCAGTGTATCAGCAGTGCCCTTCAGCTTGAGGACTAGCAGTTCCCCAACAGCTCTGGACCAGGGACAGCAAAGAAGCATTAGATGTTTTGACCTATGGTATTTTATGATATTTCCTTGCTTCCCAGAAGTCTGGGAGGCTCTGGATTCCTTGGCGTCTGGTTGAGCCAGGAAGATAGATTAACTGAAGGACTGTTACTGTTTTGTCTTGGGTGAGGCCTTGTGGGCAGCCAGCTGTTTTATTTTGTGTATTGCACAAAAGGTTCCTTTAAATCTGTGTGTTCTAGGGATGAGGGCTTAGAAGTGAGAGGATAAACTGTGGGATATTTTTTTTCTTTGCACAGCAGTCTTCACTAGCCAACACTGTTGGCAAAAGCAGGCAAAAGAGAGAAATCCCCTTAGAGCAATGCTCACACACTGCCCTGTCATGCAAAGTTTAGGCCAGAAGGTTAAGTCCAATATGATGCTAAGGACCTGATTTTAAAATTATCTCACTGCCTGTCCCAGCTGTTACAGGGTGCTCTTGGAGCAGTATAATATGCTGAGCAGTTCTGAAAGTCAGGACCCAAGAGTCTAATGCTGTAGCTAGACCACAATTACCATGGGTTTGTGTACACAGGGAGCTCTGCTGACTTCAGTGGGTTTCTCCATAGACCAAAGTGTTCACCTAGAACTGAATGTTTATCTGTTTGCAGATCATAGATGTCCTACAAGCTGTTTGAGAGACAGCCTGAACAAAACCAGGAGACGCTGTGAGGTCAGTGATATTTGTGTAAACCACACGACATGGGCTTTCTCAGATCATCCTTTTATAATGCCATATTCTTGTAACACAGTTCTTACTCTCTTTCACATCTGAAAACAGAAAAATTATTGTGTGCTCACTGCAGTATATCTCTTCCTGCCAAAGCTGCCTCAGAACAGAAGGAAAAGACAGCTTTGTTATTCCAGCTATGGCTTTTTAAAACATTTTTATCTGATTCAGTTAGGCTCCCAGAGAATGTTTCATGGATGTGTAGCTTATTATATTATTACTGCAGTGTATCTATGTTAAACCCTCTATCATTCCACAGCCCTTTGAAATAGGGAAGGCTTATAAATCCTGATTTACAAATGAGAAACAGTAGCACAGGACTTAACCCCTGTAAGATTTCTCTTGGGCAAAATTCCCACATGGGAAGAGTCTGTTGCCTTCTTTCTTCTTGTCTCAGACCACTAATGTCAGTGATGGTGAATGAACTATGTGGGATTCTGTCCATGCTAGAGAAAGGGGGTAAGGAGATATAACCTGACCTGCTGTAGTTCCCACTTATTTCAATAAAAACTGTGAGCACACGATACTCTCGGAAGGTGGGTCTTAAATGATTTGGAGTGGCCACCCTCTAACTGCTTGTAAGAAAACTGCCAGGGAAGATGCCAGTTATTTTGCTAGTTTGGGTTCTTCCTGATTGAAAGACAGAAAATGTGGTACAACAGCAGATACAGCAGCCAGTTTGGGGTACCAAGGAAAGCGTTTCTGCGTAAGTCTTGACCTATCTTTGTTTTCTTATGCAAACAGTAATGAGCAAAAAATAAAATTGATAAGCATATTAATAAGTTAATTATTAACTAACTTAATAATGTTGGCCTTCAGATTGCCATTAGGAGGCATTTAAGCTAATATAGAGGTCTCTGAATTCTTATTCCGGGTTCCTTGCACACCTGCCTGTCTGTATTGATCAAATCCTTGAGGTTTTCCTCACAGCTGTTAAGAGATAGAAACTTTAATAGCATGTGTGCATGTGTTGTATTACCTGGTTAAAGTCCATACAGCTAAAAGAAACTCAGGTCTCAGGTTTCCAGGTTTACATATAGGTTTTTTCTGATGCAACAAAATGCAAGACAAACTCATAATGCATTTGGATGCATCCCAAACTGAGGGTGAACACACTTTAAACCTCAAGAAAATGTAAACAGAAAAGTGTTCGCTGCATTCAGGCTTCTGTCCTGGATTCACCCAGACAGTTCCAAGCTCTTTTTGGTTTTCCTGTCGAGTTTCTGGATCTAATTAGATCAATCAACATCTCACTGATGCACTAAATGAGATATATAACATTAGATAATCTCACCAGTATAAACTGAGATGTAAATTAGATTGTCATCTTGAAAACTGGCATTGTAGTGGTGACCCTCAGTCTCCAACCCCTCCATTTCTTCACTGCTTGCCAAGGAGACTTGGACTAAAACTTGCTGAGCAAGTGTTGCTTTTCACCCCAGGAACTTGTGCTGTCTGCCTGTGGCTTGGGCCTTGCAACTCAGTGGTAGATCTGCTTTGTGACTTGAGCAAGTCCCACAATTGGTGTGCAGTAAGTATTCCAGGAGTTTGCCCACCAAGAAATAGATCCACAATGGTGAAAGGAGTGCTGTATGTCACCTGTTACCTGTGTAGAATTTGCTTTACCTCTAGAGAATATTTAGGGATGAGACCAGTGACAGGACCCAAGGGAATGGCCTGCAGTTGTCTCAGGGGAGGTTTAGGTTGGGTATTAGAAAAAGGTTCTCCACCTAGAGGGTGGGTGGGCACTGGAACAGGCTCCCCAGGAAGTGGTCACAGCACCAAGCCTGACAGAGTTCAAGAAGCATTTAGACAATTCTCTCAGGCACATGGGTGACTCTTAGGGATGGTCCCGTGCAGGGCCAGGAGTTGGACTCGATGATTCTTGTGGGTCCCTTCCAACTCACCATATTCTGTGATTCTGTGACACTTAAACCCACAAGATTTTCTAGAATGGAAATTATTACAGAAACATACAAGATGGGTCACTAAGTTTATGTTTGTTAATAAAGCCCTTCCATAGCTGCTCTGACATCTCATCCAGTAAGAGGCTGACATATTGATTAGTTTCTGCTGTCTGTGTCAGACTTAGTTCACTTAAAAAACTTGAGAGCCACATCTTTCTAGTGCTAAAGAAATTACTCTGAGTCTCCTGGAACAGCTGTTCCAGCCTGAAATAGACTGTCTTGTCACCTACCCCTGGTAACACTTTCCCTTCTTATCTCTAATGATATGGCACTCTGACTCATGTTAATGAAGGAAATAAGGTCATTATCTCTGTAAAATGTACTCTACTCTCTATGAAATGCCTCATTTTTCTGTTGTACAGTTGATTAGAACACATTCTTGGTTTCAGTTTTGAAATGGTTTTGGGTTTGGTTGTTTGGGGTTTTTTTCCCCCTTACAGGTCCCTTCAGAGAGGGTGCTAAATTTTGCAAATCGTAACTTATAAATATATAATGGGCAATTCATAAATAATAAATTATTATTATAATTTCATTTGAAAATCCATCTGAAATTAGCTCATTTTTAGCAATTTATTGCAATACTTGCAGATAAATGGATGGCAAAACTGGGAATTGGAGTTTCTGGAAATATAGTTTCAGGAACTCTTAGTCTCAAGGGCCTTTTTCCTTTTTTTTTGCTTAGCAGAGAGATGGGAGAGTTTAGCCACCAGATATATTAAACATACCACTCAAGTATTCTTTGGCTTTGTGTGCAGGGTTGTGTATAGGAGTGTACAGTCCTCATACCTCTACACCTCTGGTGTAACCTTTTTTTTTCAGGTGTTTTTACCTGTGTATGATTTTGAACTTGGTACAGAATAAACATGGTCTCAGCAGGGTGTGAAGAGCTCTAACACAGCCCTTGCATTAAAACTGCTCCTGTCTGACACAACAGTACAAAGTTCAGGCTGAACTGGATGGACTGTTCTGATACAATTTTCTTTATCTTATCAAAGGTCCCCCAGTGAGCCAGGTGAGTCCTGACTGCTCCTTGGTCTCTGATTCCCTGGCTCAGTCTCTCTCTTTGGGCTGCATGAGTCAGTTTGCTGTTCTCTGGCCACTGTTTTCTAATTTTCTGCCTATTTTTTCTCTGGTCATTTTTATCCATGACCATTTGTTAGGAATATTTTGGTTCATAAAACTCTGACTTGCCTTAATCTGTCTCAGAATAAAACATTTCTTTCTCACATTTTTCTAGATCTGTCTCTGAATGTAGTCACAAAAATTTTGACTGCTGTGTGTACTTATCCTGGTCATTTTGGATTTCCTGCCACCACATTTCCTATGCACAAAATCATGTTAAACTGGCTAGCAGTTTCCCCACTTACCATTTCTACGTTCCCAAAATGATAACTGTATATTAAATAACAATTGCATCTTCACAGGGACAGTCACAGCTGTGGTTGGCACCAGCAGCTTGAAGAAGTGGGCTGTAAATCTGGCTCATGACATTTATTACATCTCTCTCCTCTAAGAAATATTCAAGTCACAATTTAAGACCATTATGGACAATTTGTCCAGACTTGAGTGAGACTACTACAAAATAAAAAATCATTTTCATATGTCTAGCTCCAGTTTTATTTCTCATGATGGGTGGGTAGTGGCTCATTTTTCTGAAAGGCCTCTCTTTGGCCAACTTGCTTTCCAGCTGACCTTATAAGATTGCACTCTGTGTCTGAAAAATCAATTAAAAAAGAACTGGAATACATTTCTATTATATATTAACACGTGTCCTTGTAAAGAAAGGCCGTGATCTGGGTATGCAAAAGCTAATAATTGACCAACTTATGGTGCCATACTATTTGTTCTATTTATTTTCTTTGCAGAAAGCATGCAAACACTTTGGAGGGACACTAAAAAAAATCTGCAGAATATTCATACCAAGTTTAAATGGGCACATTTTAAAATGTTGAGCAATGATTATCAGTGTTTATCACCAAGGGCTCCAAAACTCTTCTAACAAAAGACAGAAAGTAGATTTTATAGGTTAATGGTAGGGCATGAAAAATAGGTTTATTTTGGCTCATTGCAAGATTGAAAAAAAAAAAGCTGAAGATCTAATGTGATAAAGGCACATGAAATGACTGCTTTGTGGTTTTGTGTTACAAGAGACAAGTTCAGCATGTGATTTCAGGAAGTTTCTGAGGGCTCCACGAGGTGCTCAGCATTTGCACATCTGTGTCTGCAAACCACTCTGACACTGAAGCTTAGTGGTGACATTTGACTTGGTGGAGAAGGTCTCAGTGACTTGTGGTCACCTGTGGGGACAAAGGACAAGGCACTGCTGTGTCAGTTGTAGTGACAGAGGGGATGTAGCCTGGAACTGTCATGTCCAGTGGCAGCTGAGAACTGATTTGGCCTCCACCCTTGTTTGCCTTCCTTAACTTACGTGCAGTCTTTTGTTACTCACTGACTGTACTCCTTTTCCTCCAACTAGAATTGCTTTGTGCCCTAGAAGTATTTCACTTCCACAGATTTCATACCACAGGACTATTTCTTCCCTAAAATACTTTCACTACACTAATCTTTCACAGAATCATCATCATGGAATCATTGAATAGCCTCGGCTGGAGGGGACCTTAAAGATATCCAGTTCCAACCTCTTTGCCATGGGCAGTGACACCTTCCACTAGATCTAGTTGCTCAGAGCTCCATCCAGCCCGACCTTACACACTTCCAGAGATGGGGCATTCGCAACTTCTCTGGGAAATCTATGCCAGTGTCTTACCACCCTCACAGTGAAGGATTTTTTTCTTAATATCTAATCTAAACCTACTCTCTTTCACTTTGAGCCCATTCCCCCTTCTCCTATCATTACATGCCCTTGTAAATAGTCGCTCTCTATCTTTCTTGTAGGTTCCCTTCAGGTACTGCAAGGATGCAATTACATCACCCCAAAACCTTCCCTTTTCCTGTCCAATTGGTATGTGGTTGAGAATCATTTTGAGTTGCTATGGTCATGGAGGTGCCACAGCTTCTTTGGCTTCATGGTACTTCCAGGAGATGCCAGGACCTCTGAAAGAGTCTCACAATGTTCAGAACTACCTCACAGTCTGTAGAACTAAAACTAAAATAAATCACTCTTATCTCTTCTCAGTGATTTTTGGGAGAACTCACCTTTACCTCTGGACAAGGACATATATTCTGGGAAAACAGGAGAACTTGGAGCGTTTGAATAGTTAACTTCTATCCATGTTGTTTTAAGGGAATAATGGTCTTTCACTCAAATGAGTAAATTCTTTAATTCAGTTTAGAACTCAAAATGAGCTTGAAAGATGAGCTAATCTCTGGTGCTTTCAGTACCAGTTTTGTAACCTGAGAGCACCAAGATTTTAGGGTTACATTTTTTTTCTCTGACTAAGAGATAGGCTGGGGGCTGTATTTGAACAATGTAATGGCAGGGCAGACTCAGCTGTGATATCCAGCTGTGAATGGACACTTATTTTTTGGTAGTCATTCCTTATTGGGCCTAATTCTGAGATTAACATTTACATTCTAGGTGGGAACATATTCCAATCACCTGTTATTACCCTGTTATCATATTGAATATAATCCCTTTCATGAATATATTGCTATTGTCTTTTTTGCCCCTGTTTCTTATTGAAAATCCATTCCAGAACTTACTTGCTCTTCCAAAGAAACTTCTCTCAATTCTGTATGTTTACATGCCTGCGTTTTTTTATGTTTGTTCTTATATCAGTTTTAGATTTTAACTTAATAAATTTGAGCTGGAGCAGAGAACTCTATCAGAGTCAGGTTGATGCTTTTTGAAAGAGCTTATAAATCTGTAATTCCAGTGGTCTCCAGTTTTCTTCAAGGAGAAAGTACATGTTTCTTCCTGCCCTGTGATGCATTGATACCAAAAGCTTTTTATTTGCTTAGAGCAATTCTTCCGTTTTGGGGTTTTGTTTTAATTTTGCTTTTGCAATTGAAATATCTGATCTCTCATAGTAGATATTAAAGAGAAAACCAGCATATACTATTTAGGATCACCTTTGCTACTAAGTGCTTATACAAAGGATAAGTAATGAAACAGTTTTACTGTGAAAAGAATTAATGAAAGACATAATTTTTTACAGATAAGAAAATGGTATTGTTCTCTCAACTCTGCCATTGAAGCTGCAATTTTTTGTGTCATTCAGTGATAAATATTTGTTTGACCTTTGATATGTACTTGTTTGGGTATTGGGATTTCCTCAGCTTCTCTTTTAGTGCTAATGAGCAGAATGTACTAAAAATATTTTTCTTCAACTTGCCCTGATTTCGTGGGACATCAGTGTTCTGGCAGGACTAAGCCTTTTGCTAAGGGATTATTGTCAGACTCTGAAGAGATGAATGGGAAAAGTTCATCTCCCAAAAGCTTAAAATAAAATGTCTGAGTTTCCACTCCCAGGAGTGGAAGTCTTGCTGCTGAGCTGAATGACAGCAAACCTTACAGATTTGAAGAACAGCATATTTTTTCATCCAAACACCAAAAAGTAAATTCTGAGTTTCAAGTTCCTGAGTGGCATCTGACTATTTCATTAAATCTACCACATCATACCAAGTACTTTGCATTTTATTTTGGCAGTGAGATAGTATTTGTTTAATATGGATCCTCCAGTTCTGATAAAACCAAAACTTCCGTTAAGATAAGATTGCAGGATTAGCCTCAACTTTTGTAATTAATGGCCTGCTTCCAGCAAAAACTATCAACACTTTCTCCTCAACAGAAAATATAGTTTCCTTGAGGCCAATTCTGTATGGAATGTTTGAGACTGCTTTGAGATACATATGCCACATATGTTTATGTCTGCATATCAGCAATTCTCTATCTTTAATATAATATAAAATTAGACCTGTTTATGGTGGGTTTTACATATGGATGGTTCTCCTAGGTTCTTAATTAGTTATACATTATTTAATTACTCTTGTGTTGTATGCAGTCAAAATACAAATGTGTTACAGTTATGATTAGAAGTTCCCAGACACAAAATGCTTGTCATGATAAACTTCTAGATATTAAATATCAGTTTAGATATTCATAGTTATGATAGTTCTTAATAACTATAATTCCACTATCAGTTCAGGTAATAAAATAATTCTCAGTAGAGCTTTACTACTGTGCAATAATAAAATCATCCATAGCCTTGTGCCATCAGGAGTAGTGTTGATGGACAGGAAGAAATTTGACAGAAGGCTGCCTGCTCTCTCCCTCCTTTCATCCAAACTGCTATGATCCCAAAGCAACTCACCAGGACACACTGGAATGAAGCACCAAGACTCTTGGGACCCCTCACCTCATGGTCATCTCCCAGTGGAAATGTGTCTTGTGTGCACCACAGTAATACTGGGGCATAATGAACATATTTCACTCAGATTAGTGAGCCTCCACATTTCCCACACACATTTCTATGTATACCAGAAAAATAAAAAAAAATAAATTTGTATTTAAAAAGAAGACCGTTAAGTTCAAGGTTATCCACTTTGTGTCACCTGCGAAGCTTGCAGAGGTACCTGCAGAAAGAGATGCAGAAGTCATTTGCTTCTCACCTGATACAGGACTTTAATCTTGTCTCAATCTTCCCCCTGCTCTTCATGCTCCTCCAGTATGTAGGTTCCGTGTCTCTCCTACAAATGATTCCTGATTTTAGTGCCCTGTCATACAGCAGTAGCACTTTCTCACACCAGGAGCTCTGCTTTGTGGCAGGATTTTAGTCGTTCATGATGTGAGGCATTGCCTGATCTTGCTGCTCTGTGAACAGGGAAGGGCACTGGGAGAAGAGATGTGGCCCTTTGCTTGGCCTCAGTCCAATGTCACCCCGTGCAAGTGTCCTGTATTAGTGGTGCCAAGGGGATCAGCCATTCAACTTTCCACCAGTTCTTATGCTACATAAACACCTGATGATCT